AAATAAGATATGGGATAGACCGCATCCAAAGAGTTGACTCAAAAACTCACTCATTTCCAGCTGCGAAACTTGAATCCGCTGTAATGCACATTCGTTGAGAGATACTATTATACAGCGCAAAGGCTTACTCACATGCAGGCTCTTCCACCTCCAAGGAATGTCATTCTGTTGTCTTGATTCAGTAGTGAAACCGTAGTATAACCGTGAAGGAGCTACAAGTTCGAGTAAATTCAGCCGCCAGTGGCACGCTCTCCGGCAGCGGCTGGAGTAACCTCTCGGGCTTCCACTCGTACGAGTCAGGTCCCCAGATTTCGGCGTTACGGTTGGATGCCATAATACCCACAATGACATTTGTATTCTTGGGGATAGGTATGTCGCTGATCTCTCGCCCGTCCAGGCCAACGATGGGTTTGGAGGGAGGGAGGACAACTTCTTCTCGCGTTCTGAACATGACCGGAATAAGCATGCAATGGGCGTGTTTAATCAGAGTTATAGACGTAAGTCCTATTGACGACTGACATAGGAGGGTATTGTTTCACTTCTGTCAGCCGATATGGTGAAAGTGGAAGCCATATTCACGTACAGTCAGAGAGTTTCTCGACAAACGGCGTAGGCACAGGAGTTCCGGTATGCGGCTTTAGGACGGCATGAGGCTGGGGATCACATCTCGTTGTCTTCCTCTTCGTAGGCTTTTTCATCGCGAGCAGCTCCTCCTGAATAGTTCCCGCCGATGGTGCCCTCGGTAGATTACTGGGTTGCCGCTGGGTATGCGCGCCGAGTCCACGGCGGTCAATTCGAGCCGTGTTGCGCCATCGAAGCTTGAAGCCTGAAGCCTGACTGAAGCTACTCCAGATCTTCTCGGTCCTCATATGAAGTCGTATGATATCTTCATAGCTCGGTCACTTCGGCACCTGCGCATTCGATTCTTGAAGCAGGAGAGAAACAAACGTCACGGTCTTGCAGCCACAAGAACTGGGTTTACCAAGGTGCCAGTGTATCTTGAGTCCGCGAGGTCGAAGAGGTCGGAAAATGTATGTAGGACGAAGTTGTATCCAGACTTTCGAGTACCTCAAAACCAATGTTCACGAAACGTTGAACGATTCTAAGAAAATGGGTGCTGCATCCTTTTAGTTCTGCGAAGTCCAGTTCCTAGTCAGTCGTAATCGTTCGGAAAAGCCGACTGTGAGGGTCGGTGGAAGATGGACAACTGTGCAGCATCATAGGCCCTATTATTGGCGTGGAGATCCCATGGGATGTCAATCAGCTACTGTCTTATGTATGGCACGTGACCCAAAGTTTACCAACTTCAATTTGAACGACGCGTGCCGCTTGACTTGCGACGGCCACCACAATGTCACACTCTACTCCTGTCAAACCTAGCAGTCGCACTGGGAACAATCAGCCCTCCTCTGATGCGCTTCGTAAACAAGAAGTGCTCAAGAATCTCCTCCAAGACGAAATTGGTGATCAAACGTGGCAGTTCGACGCCGAAAGGGTCTCCCGTATGCTTTCTCCCAAATGTCTCAAGCCGGGCGGGGACTATCACTTTTTGGACAATCACGACTGCGACGTCGACAAACGCTTCTTCAAGGCGGCCCTCACACGAGCCAAATCGGACCTAGAAAAGACCCTCTCTTGGAACAAAGTCTCAATTGGCCGCCCGACAATGCGGGGGAGCGGCAGTACTATCAGCCCCTGGCCCAGTTCATGAACACCTGCTTGAAAGCTTGTCACGCCGCCCTGGACTCTGATCCGTCAGCTCCCGCCAGGGATGTACGGTG